AGAATTAATCGTATTTCCTAATTTTAACATTTTTTCTATGTAACATTAGTAAATAAAATTAAACACACACGCGCGCGCACACACACACGTTAAATTGGTTTGTTTGAAATGGTAAGTGATGGGTTCTGGTTTATTTTCAATTTTCATTTATTTTTTATGGCTATCTGATTTTTGTGTTAAAGTAGGAAGAAAAAAAAAGAAAGAAAAATACAGTTGGAATTAAAAAGTTTAAGTAAAAAGCTCCCTCCAAAAAGACAGGAAGCAAGGAGATTGTGAGAAATATTAAAAGAAAGTAAAAGGAAATATGTCGAAAGAAATAAACTGTGACAGAGGAAAGAAAATATAAAAAGAAATTAAAAAGGAAGAAAAAGTAGAAAGAATGGCTGCAATAAAGATTTTAAAAATATAAATTGTGTGAATGAGAAGAAAATAAAATAAAAAAAAATAAATTTAATAACGATATATTTAGATGTATTTATAGAAAGAATTGGGTATTGGCGAAATTGACAAAATAAATTTTTCTTTCCACTTTTTAAACATTCAAATTTTGTTTTCCGTTTTCAGTAATTTCCCTTTTTGAATCCATTTGAATTTTAAAGGTTATGACATATATATAAGCAGCATTGCATTTTAAAAATTTTTTTTTTTTACTTTCATGACATTTCTTTTGGCCTGCCCTCTACGTGTGCTTGAAAATTGAGTATAATATGTCTTTGTATTAAATAGAATTCATTCAGGTGAAGCCCACTTGATTTCATGGTAGTTGATTTTGCTACTTGAGATATCCCGAAAATGAATATTATAATTCTATTTTATTTTTTCACGGAGCTTTTTATCCACCACCCTTTTTGCCCACCTCTTCCTCTCTTCGTTTTTATTACTATCTTCAGCATTACTATTTTTATTTTTTATATGTACCCTTCACTGAGTGTTATTATAATTATTATTATTGGGACTTTTATTATTATTGTTATTGTTTTTAAGCCCTTGTCATTTTATTTACTTATTTGTTCCTTTCTTGGAATTTCTTTTGTTTGTACTTGTTTTCTTTTTTTCATTTCATTTCATCAGTTCCATTTCTTTCTTGTTTTCTTTTATTGCAATATCGAATTTTCTTTTTCTTTCTTATTGTAATGTTTCCACTTCATTTTCCAACACAACACACACACACACATACACACACACACACAACACACGCCGCGTGCGCACGCGGATAAATTTAATTTTGAGGTTTGCAAAATTCAACATTTTTTTGTTAATCGTTTTAAGGGATTTTATATGTTTCCTCTCAAATATTTTGTTTATTTACTGCCTGAATTCTCTTCTCACTTCACATATTTTTAAAAACCCGGGAAAGTTTGTGTATCAGAGAGTGTGTAGCGTGTGTAACTGACTGTCAAGAAAGTTTTGTTTTGCCCAGCCCTGCTCAAAGTTAATTAATCATTATAATTGGGTGAGATCAACTATAATTACTATCTAATGAGAATATTAGAAAGGTAAACACTCGATTTATGGCTTAAAACCAAAATTTACCAAAATCTTTGGACACTACGTATTTAATTTTTGTATACGTGTAAGTGTCCAATAAATTTCCCCTTAAATTTTCTTTCTTCTTACATAAATTTCAAAATAATGCATAAGACATAGGCGTCTATGTAAATTTAAAACAATGGCAAATATTACTTCTATTCATCGTTCATGACTGTTAAATCAGTACATTAATTTTTTTCAACATTGTAAATCAAATAAATCCAATATGTTTTTATACACACATATTCTGTGATTATCAAAACATAATGCTTTGATCATGATAGATAACAGTTTGATTTTGAATTTCACTGTTACTGGAAAATTGTGCAATTGTGTGTACTTCTACTACTTAACTACCTGAACAAAAATATATACTTTTCTTTGAAATAAATAAACTGCAACTAAAGAATGATCAATGTGAACAAAGCTGAAATTTTTCCGCTCCAATATTATCACATTGTTTTTAAAATGGATGCATTTTCATGTGAAAGTGTCGATTTACGATTCATAGTATGCGTTCAACAGTGATGAATAAACTTCTGAAATGATTGATAGGACTATTTGCTGGCTTATAGCAAATTTAGAGCGAAAGTAAAATGTATGGAAATGATTAAACGTGTGTGTTTGTAATTTAATGTTTGCATTGACTGGTCTGATACTAGAGATCAAAAAAATATAGCCTCTACTAAAAAAAATTAAAAATGTTGAATACATTATCAGAACATCTGAACACTCCTCTATAACAGGTGCTTATCAAAAACTGAAAGAGACTAACAAGAAGTATATAGAGGAGCTAAAAAAAAAAATTATACAGGGCCAGTGCGTACTACACACCAACCCCCCTACCCCGGCTTGATATGGGCTCCCCTGGTAGTGCTTTGTGACCTCGCAATCTTATCAACATTTGCTTTTTTCCCCCCTACATTTAGATACTAAGCACAACTGACTATTTTAAAGGATGAATAATTTTCGCGGATTTAGACGTCATTCATTCTGAGTTTGTTTTTTTCGTCCGAACCCGTGAAATTGTTTTGCTTATGCTAAGTTTCGAAAAAATACTATAGCTCACTATTTTTTACCCATAAAGTTGAATGTGTTAAATTATCATAAGTATCATACACTCGGGAGTGGGAGGGGGGCACAAAACCCTTGAACCAGCTCTGTATGTATGTTTTATATTGATTGATTGTCAAGTAAAATATCCATTGGTCATAAATAAAGTTTGTCATTTGTAAAAGTTATTGGCTTGACATTTTTACCAGTTTTGGACCGAGCAGTTTTCAGCGCCCACTCATACAAATCTCCTATTGTTTTCTTTCTCCCTCTCTGATTCTCACATATTGGAAAGAGAGTCAAGAAAAGGATAGACACGGAACAGGGAAATTAAATGTTGGCAATGATTGGAAAAGGAAGAATTGGCTAAGAATAAGATAGATATAAAAATATTAGCATGAAAATTTGAAGTTCTTGTGGAAAAGAAAAATGATTTTGACAAATTAATTTGGGTGGCATCACTGGCTTGTTATAGTGTCATTAAATGAGATTTGCAAAAGCAATTAAATGTTTTAATTTTACATTTCAGTGAATATAGTCAGTAAATTGTACAATCTGAAAAGTTTCATTTTACTTGTCCCCAACATTTAAGAGTTCCCTATTGTTTTCTATTTGTTGCAAACCCAGTTTTTAATCAGATCTTCTCTCTCTCTCTCTCTCTCTCTCTCTCTCTCTCTCTCTCTCTCTCTCTCTCTCTCTCTCATCTATACTTTGTAAATTACAGCTTCTTATTTGATGGAAATAAGTTAATTAGATTATTAAAAAAAATTGAATTGATGCACATGGAAAATAGGAAATGTGATTGTTTACATCTGAAGAAATTTGGATCCAAATTAATGATGAAAAAAAACTGTTTAATTACAGCTCACTTAGCCTTGACTTTCTTTTTTTATTCACCAAGAATTAGTTTCTAAAAATGTAAATGTATTGTCAAGTATCTAAATATGTGTGTCTCTCAGTGTATGTATTTGAGCTTCGTGTGGAAAACAGTGTATACATGTATTTGTTACAGTGACCTACTTCAATTTTTGTAGTCATTTCCTGAAATTTTCTTTATGAAAATGATTACAGGGACTTCTTTTACAATGTTTTAATTTCCATATGGCATTAAAGAAACAACTTTACTGTCTTCCTTTTATCTTTTTGTTTCTATTATTTAAAAAATTCACTCATTAAATATATAATTGATGTTGCAATTCAGTTGAAGTTAAATTTCAACATTATTGTTACTTCATCTGTTGCTCTATTAGTAACAATAAAAAGATAACGTGCATGCATCACTGACTCTGAAGGAGTGTGCAGAAAGATTTTGAGCTTATATATATACATACCTACATACATATCCATGTTATTTACTATGGAATAGAGTTATCAGATGTTTGTTTTTTTTTTCTTTTACTAATGTTCACCCAATACAAAGCCCAAGAGCCACTCATGATTGTGGGTTACTGCGTGGACTTGTATTAGCATAGGAAAGAACATTAGGAATATAGAGTCAAAGCAAACTTTAGAAGGAACTGGAAACCCACTCTTAAACAGGAAGCAAGGAGTAAAGCTCTACTCCTGTTCAAAAGGTAGAAACAAGAATGAAGATTACTTAGTTCTTAGTATCAGTTAAAAATGTATGTACAGATATTCATATTAATAAACACAGTCATTACACAATTAGAAATATATATTATAGAATGAGGCTTTAGTTTAAATACTACTTTTCTTCAGAAAAAATTCACCCAAATTCTATTCTCATCCTATTTCTTATTGTTACTCTCTTTTCCATTTTTGTATTTTCATGTCCTCAGTAATTTTTTCTTGATCATCATCACCCTTTCCTTTTAGATTTTCTTTACAGAAATAACATTTTCTTTTTCTTTGTGTTAAGTTTTACTTATCTTTTCTTTTCTTTTTTTTTCATCAACTATCAGGGAAGGAGCTATTATAAAACAAAATAAATTAATATATAAACCAATAAGTTTCATTAACACTGAATATAGTACTTTTCTAAGCATACTCAGAGTCAGTTTGTCTTGTTAGAGATATATACTTCTTGCATGTATGCTTCCTTCAAAAAATCATAGTAAGAGAGGCAAGAGGCATATATTGATAGTGTTGTATTTAAATGGAGAGGTAGATATCCTTTGAAAATAAAAGAATATAGCAAAAATATGAGTATAAGGAAAGTAAGTAAACAGATTGGAGAATTATAAATGATATATTTCCCTTTTAGTTTTGTATGTATGCACTTTCTCTTTTGTATTACATGCTGTAAAATGTCTGTTAAAAAAAGAAAAAGTGCAAAATGATATCACAAAACAAATATTTCCTCAAACTTTCTTAATCTTTATAAGTTAGCAGGGACATACTTTAAAAATATTATTTATTGATAATTGACTTCCTTCTTTACTTAGACTTATGGGTCACATTGAAACACTGGTTCTCATATGTTCACTGAATTTAAGCAATGTTGAACCTGGTCAGTATCTAGATGTGTGACCGCTTGGGAATACCAGATGCTGTAAGCTTGGATATGTGTGTGGTTTCATGGATAATGGCTTGGAATTGTTTATCAGAGAGCCGAGTGCAAATTCTTGTTCGGTTCATTATATACATGTATCCACAAATATTCTTGGGAAAAGTACAGATCTGCCTCTTCTCCCCTCAACCAACTGTGAATTATTTAGTAAGACTTGTACCACTAAACCATTATTATCTCCTCAAAGATTCTTATAACCTAAAAAAAATTTCGGCTTTAAATAAACTGTAAAAGGTTAATAAGCCATAGAAAACCCTTATTTACTCAATATTGTATGTTATTTTAAACTGTCCTTGCTTGACTAATAAACATCTGTTGAATATGGTTAATCGGCAAATGATACATGATTTCATACTGAGTTTATTTATATAGTGAAAGATAGACAAATGCATATTTATATGTACACAAAAATTTATGCATGATAGTTTATGGATATTATAAATAATGAAAGCTCTCTTACATGTTCCATATATTGTTTTTATTAAATTTTAAGTTTTCATAATCTTGAAAATCCCATTATTAATAAGTATTTATTTACAGCAGAAGTTTTATACAAGTAAGTAAATTTGGGAAAATTTAGTTTTCATTAAACAATAGAAGAACCAAAAAATAATTGAAAAATCATCTCTCTTATTCTTTATATATATATATATATATATATATATATATATATATATATATATATATATAATGATAGAAGAGAGAGAGAAATTATATATCTATAATATATATAAAATATAACATTTTTTCCTTTTTTATTCTGTCCACTGTTTTTTAATTCTTTTCTTTCTTCTCTTGATGATAATGCCTATAATCCTGTTTATTCCATATCTCTCTATCTCTCTCTTGTATTTATCAACTTCTTTTCTTTCATCCTCTATGCTTATGTTCTCTCACACTTTCCTTTTACTTTTTTCTCTCTGTGTCCTTACTCTTCAACTGTTGTTTTCCCTTTCTCTCCCTTCAGGCTTATTTTTTTTCTTCATTTAATTACTGTGTTATTTAATTTCCATCCTTTTTTCTTTTAATTTTTCAAATGTCTTCTTTTCTACTTGTTTGCTCCCCACTCTTATTAATTTCTCTCTCGTTCTCTTTCTTTTGATTTCTCTCCCCCCTTTACTTTTCTATTCCTTTTGTCCTTCTTCTTCTCTCTCTCTCTCTCTCCTTCATTCTTCCACTCATTTTTTATTCTCCTTTTTGTTTACCATCAAAACATTTTCTTTTTTTTATCTTCACATATTTTTCTTCCATCTTTCTTAGGATTTCACAGTATGAACAGATTTCTAGATATTTTCCCCAAACTCTATTGAATTTAGTATATCATTAACTATAAATAACTGGCCAGTTTTTAAGTTAATTAATAACCTTGACTTCTCTACCTAATGATTCACAAGTAATTTGACATGCAAACACTTTAACATGTGCATTGAAAGGGATATGTCTGTGTGTGAGAGCAAGAAAGAGTCAATGTTAATGTATCTTGTTAGATATTAAGCTTTTTTTGTTTGAATTTTTGAGAATCAGAATTATCATTATTATAAACTCATTATACTTGAACTAGTGTGTCTTATGTTTAGTTACAGGGTTTTGGCCATTCTACACCCTGACCTTCAAGTTTCTATTGCAATTGATAAGTATTTCAAATCAAAACTTTTATTCATTCTGCTGGAGTACGTTGTTTTCATTCCACTGTCCATGCTAGAGGATACATCATATCAATTAATTTTTATCATTGTGATGTCACTTAACTGTCTCTTCCACTGAACCAAACCAGAGTATAGAACTTTTTACAGTACTAGACCTAGAGACTGAACTCACAACGACCAGGAAACTCAATCCGCTTTTATCAACTAGACCATGTGTTCCATAGTGGGATCAAATATGACAGACTTTTAAAGACCAAAGGGCATAACAGCTGAAACATTGTGATTATAACAGCCAAACTGAGGATATTAGTACAAATATATCAGTGTATAATAAGCTTAGATTCATCTGACATTTGATCATATGGGGAGTAGGAAGTTTGTGCTGCAGCTAGCGAGCCTACCTGTCTTTCAAAACCCTGCTTTTTATCTAGGTTCAAACAATGTTCACTGGTGCCAATGTGAAATGTTTGTGCATATATTATTTACCTGTTTACCAAAAAGTGAATTACAAAAATATACATGTTCACAACTGATACACATGATGATGATGATGGAAGTAAGGATGTATTTCTTTTGATATACTATTCATAAATCTCCTGCAACTCTTCTGGACAGTCTCCTTGTTTAAATTCATAAATGCTGTCATAATCCTTGCCTTCAGTTCATCTTTGGGTGTTACAAGGAGTTTTGTTGGTCTTTCACTCAACTGCGCCCCACACATAATAATCAAGGGAGTTGCGTTCTGGGGAGTTAGGTGGCCAGATGTAAGGGGTGAGGTGGTCGCAGAAATTGTCTAACAGCCAAGACTGGTTTCCCCTGCTTGTGTAGCATGGTGCAGAGTCCTGTTGCCAGACATATGGACTTCCAGCAGCCACCCTCTTGATCCAGGGCAGCACTACCTCCTCAAGACACTTGATGTAGACCTCTGTGTTGAGTCTGAGGCCCTGTGAGAAGATGAATGGAAGCATAACGTCGCCATCACTAGTGATCACTCCAAACACCATTAGAATCATCCAACTCTTTCCGAATCCTCTGCACTGTCCTCAGATTGACACCCCAAAACTCTGAAATGTTCGTATTGGAGCTTCAGGCAAAATCAAATGCCAATCAGTACATACATGCCAAATCCAAATTTCTGACGTAGTGAATTGCAATGGTGCTCTTTTTCCTGTATAGACGGTGTTTCAACTGACCATACTTACTGTAGAGTCGACAAAATCAAAAACAAACAATGCATTTGCACGAAATTAAAAAATATAAAATGGCGATAATTTATATATATATATATATGTATATATAAAATACATCCAGTTTTTAAAATAACTTTTTGATACTTCAGACTTGGATGTAAATACTTAATTTATTAGCATTAATAGACATATAAATGGTGCAACACATTAGTGGCTGATTGATCAATGATGTATCGCATTGAAAAAATATGGCCAGTATACATTGTGACGTTTTATAATAAATCAAATTTTCTTGTAAATATTCAAATTCAAGGTATCACAAACTAGTAACCTGTGAAGATTGTGAAATTTTTGTATTATGACCATAAAAATTCATTTTGCAATTATTCAAATATAGGAAGCCACATAAAGTATTAAATGATATGTATTAAATTCTTGAAATCAACATTTATAAACAATTTTTTTTTTCTTTCATTTTAACAACAAAAAGTAAAGCTTCTGTCTTGGTTTTTTATATTGTTTAGCCGAACATTTTTAAAAAATTTGCATTGCATCTTCTTTTGACTTGTTTGTTTCCTGCTAAAATTATGATATATTATATATATATATATATATATATATATATATTATATATATATATATATAATATAAGATGGCAATTGTATGTTTTTATATGTTTTAATGGCTAATGGCATTAAGTTTATCAAACGAAGAGCGAACTTTTCTTTTGTTCAGGGAAGAAATGACAAAATGGACGATTCAATCTTATCATGTTGGAGGATTCTATTTTTTAACTAACTGGATGTATAAAAATAAATATGTTTGTGGCCATGAATATTTTATTTTCTAGATCAACACAGCTCATTGTGGCTGTGTTTGTACTTAAGAATTCGGATCTATTGTTGGATGTTTTGCGATTTTTTTAATTATCAACCTACCCAATTTTAAGCGGTTTTTTTTTTGTGGATGAGATTTTATAATGACGGGTGACCAAAGTATGTTTTTGATGTCTGTTTTGCGTGTGTACATCGATGGGTTTCGATGAAAAAAAGATTGAATTTTTTAATAAGAAAAAACGTGTCTGGATATGTTCAAAGGAAGTGTTGCCTGATGTAATTATCTATCAAAAATCCGTCAAAAAATACAGTTCCTTAAGTCAACGTCAGATCAATAATGTACATCCTTTGTAATTTTGATTTTTTTAGAGTGTGTTGTTAATTTGAGGATAAGGTTAGCTGTTTTAAATTTTTATAGTTGATAATTTAATTTTTTTGTTCAGGTCAATTCGGGTGGTGTCATGATAATTGCCCTTCTAGGTTAATATAGATATATATATATATTTTTTTATTGAATAAAGTATTTTTTTGCTGAAAGATTCTCCATTTCCTAATTCAAACAAATTATTTCAATGTCTAAACCTAATACTGATGTAAGTTCAGCTGAGAACTTTTCAATCCAGCTCTTGTTGGTAAATCAATGTCTGTAATCTAATGACATAAAAAAAATTCTACACAAATTTTTTTTTTTAACCATAATCTCCTTTATTGTTAGTATATAATCCTGTAGTGAATATTAATCATATCAGTTGAACATTATACTGTGAAGCATTCAGATGACAAATCATTAAATTTCTAAACAGATTGATCCAATTATTATTCTGTTTAGATGTTAACAAGTGATGTTTTTTTAAATTTTAAAATTTATTGACAGTTGAATATAAACAAAGAAAATAAAATGCCATGGTGCAAAAACTTGAGTTTCAAAATAGGATCAATTAGAAATTTGTTTGATTTTGAAAAGTCAAAATTCAAATGATTTTCTTGTTATATGTATTTTTCTTTTAAAAATGAAATGTATCTTAGTAAATCCAATTAGTAGATGGTCGAAAATGTCTTAGTTTGTTTTCTGCAGAATTTAATGATACTACTTTTATTTCTGTTCTGTGGAACACTAAAAACACGTGCAATATCTTTTGAAAAGGAAAATATTTTTGTATCATTCTGTCCTTTCCGGAACAGAGAATTAAATAGCAATATTTAAACATATAATAAATTTATATTTAATATATTTATTTTAAATATTTATAATTTAATAATTTATTATTTATATTATTTTATTTATTGGTTTTATATATATATAAATATATATATA